GAAAATGATTGTGGGGTTATGTTAGTGGAACTATCGTCAAACCTGAGACCACTGCTGAGAATTTTGTGACAGAGTTAGATAATTGGGAGTCAAACAATGCGAAAATTCTCACTTGGATTCATAATTTAGTTGAGCAATCCATTGGTACACAGTCAGCTATGTTTGAAATAGCGAAAGAAGTTTGGGATCACTTACAAAAGTTATACATTAAGTCTAATTTTGCAAAACGATATCAGTTGGAGATTTATATACGGGCCTTACAACAAAAGGATATGAGTATTCTCAAATTTTATGCTGCTATGAATTCAATTTGGAATGAGTTGGCTATTACAGAATCAGCGGGACTAAAAGCATGTGAGAAATATATTACTTTTAGAGAGGAACAACGATTAGTTCAAATTTTTATGGCACTTCGTAGTAATTTTGAGGGATTTAGAGGCTCTATCTTGCACCGCAATCCACTTCCATCAGTTGATTCGGTGGTTAGTGAATTTGTAGCTGAAGAAACACGTTTGAAATCTCTTGCACGAGAAGTATCCCTTTTTCCATCTAGCACTTCAATGTTGGTTGTACATTCTCGATCGTCCACACAGAATTAGAATAAATGTCATGTGCGGTTTGCTAGTGATGAGCGTAACTTTTGCAAATAAAAGGGACATTGGAAGTCTCAATGTCCCAAGCTGTTAAAGAAGCAACGGCCACAACAACGGCATCGATCGTATCATCCCAATGCTAGCATAGCTACTACCATGCCATTTAATAACTCGTCTATACTTGGAGCACCACCTTCTTCTAGTCCCATGTTGACTGATTTAGCAGAGCAGTTTTAAAAATTCTTAGCCACACAGCCATATGCTATGTCAGCCTTTACTCATATATGTTTGTCGTCTCAGAGTCACTCAAGTATTTCCTCCTCGTGGATATTTGACTCTGGTGAGTCCAAACACATGTCATCTAACTCAAAACTCTTTAATGACTTACATCCTTCAAACTCGTCTATGTCTGTTATGACTGCTGATAGTACATCATTGGCTTTAGCAGGTGTTGGTTCTGTTAACACACAAAATTTATCACTTTCAGACGTTTATTATGTTCCAACTCTTACCTTAAATCTTATTTCTATTGGCCAATTGTGTGATTCTGGATATTTAGTTCAATTTTCTTCTATTGCTTGTCATGTGCAGGATCCTCAATCTCAGAAGCTGATTGGGATAGGCCATAAACAAGGAGGGTTATATGTTCTGGACAATTTGAGACCACCATATGTTGCAACTTCTGGTGTTGACTTGTCATCTTTTTCTTTGAATTCATCGTCTTCTAGTTTTCATTTGTGGCATTTTCGCCTTGGACATGTTTTCGCTAGTTATTTGAAATTTTTAGTTTCTAAGGATCATTTGGGAGATTTGCAAACTCGTGACATTTCTGATTTTAGTGGTTGCAAATTAGCTAAATTTTTTGGTTTACCTTTTCCTCGTAATGTTTGTCATTCTGTTGCACCATTTGATCTTATTCACTCTGATGTCTGGAGACCTGCTCCTATTACTACAAAATGAGGGTCTAGATATTATGTTTATTTTATTGATGATTATGGTCTTTATTGTTGGGTTTATCTTAGGAAACGACGTTCTGACTTTCTTTCTATTTATCGCTCTTTTAGAGCACTTATTAATACTCAACATTCTACTGTAATTAAGTGCTTTAGATGTAATTTGGATGGAGAATATACTTCAACTGATTTCTCTGAATTACTTGGTCTTCACGGCACAATCCATCAAAATACCTCACAATAAAATTGTGTTGCTGAACGAAAGCATAGACACATTGTAGAAACTGCCCGCTCCCTTCTTTTGTCTGCCAAAGTTCCCAATGAATTTTGGGGGGAAGCAGTTCTTACTGCTGTTTCTTCAATTAATAAGATTCCCTCTTCCTACAATTCAGGATTATCACCCTTTAAAATATTGTATGGACATCCTCCTTATTACTCTTCAATGAGGGCTGTACTTGCTTTGTTCTTCGACCTGAGGCTGATTTTAATAAGTTGACATCTCGTTCTACTATTTGTGTTTTCTTGGGTTATGGGCAGGGACAAAAGGGTTATCCTTGTTTTGATCCTATTAATAAGAAATTATACGTTTCTCGTCTTGTTGTATTTTTTTAGCACATTCCGTTCTTTTCTATTCCTTATAATACTCATAACTTGACTAAAACTGATCTCATTCGTATTGATCCATTTTCTGATGATATTGACAGACCGCCTTCCCATACCCCATGTACCGTTGATTCTTCACGCCCTACAAGTACACATGCGCCAGCTCATGATACTTCTCCTGATTCTATGGCTTCTCATGCACCGTTTGAGATTGTTGATCCAGCTCCTGCTCCCCCTATTCATTGATATCCTGAACATATTCATAAGTCCACTCAGTTATTGAGTCATTTTGTTGTTTTCTAACCTCTATTCATAAGCTATCTAAACCCACTTCCTATAAAGAAGCTATTCTGGATCCTCTTTGGCAACAAGCTATGGTTGATGAACTTTCTACTCTACATTAGATAGACACTTGGAACTTAGTTGCATTGTTTTCGGGTAAACATGTTATTGGTTCTCGTTGGGTTTATAAGATTAAAACCAAATATGATGGTTCAGTTGAGCGTTATAATGCTATATTGGTTGCTAAGAGTTTTACTCAGCAGTATGATCTGGATTATGAGGAGATTTTTGCTCTTGTTGCCAAGATGACCACTGTTTATACACTTATTGCAATTGCATCTGTTCGTCGGTGGAGTCTTTCTCAATTGGATGTCAAAAATGCATTTTTAAATAAAAATCTTCAAGAGGAGTTTTACATGGTTCCTCCTTCTGGTCTTTCTCACTCTCCTAGATTTGTTTGCAGGCTCAAGAGAAATTTTCCACCTCATGCCTCGTTTGAGAAATTTTCCACTGTTGTTACCTTTCTTGGCTTTACATCCAGTCATCATGACTCCGCTCTATTCTTTAGAAGCACTTCTGCTAGTCGCATTCTATTATTGCTATATGTTGATGATATGATTATCACTGGTGATGATGCCGATGGAATTGCAAGTTTGAAATCAGAATTGGCTCGTCGTTTTGAAATGAAGGACTTGGGTGCATTATCTTATTTTTTGGGGATGAAATTGCTTCTTCTCCTAGAGGTTATCTTCTCTCTCAGTCCAAATACACTATGAATGTTATAGAGCGCGCCCGTCTTATTGATACTAAAATTGTTGATACTCTTCTTGAGTCCAATGCTCGATATTCATCCTCTGACGGTGTACTATTGAATGATCCCACTTTGTATCCTACTATTGTTGGATGCTTGGTTTATCTTACCATCACACGTCCCGATATTGCTTATTTTGTTCACATTGTTAGTCAGTTTGTTTTAACTCCTACTACGGTTCATTGGGCAGCAGTTGTTCGTATTTTGCGTTATCTCCGTGGTACATGCTTTCAAAGTCTTTTGTTTTCGTCAACCTCATCTTTAGTACTCCATGCATTTTCTAATGCTGATTGGGCCAGTGACCCCACTGATCTCAAGTCCACTACTGGCTTTTGTATATTTTTGGGTGATTCTCTTATCTTTTGGAAAAGTAAGAAGTAGACCATTGTTTCTCGTTCTTCTACGGAGGCAGAATATCGAGCTCTGGCATTCATTACCACTAATATTGTGTGGTTGCAATGGCTACTTGGAGACATGGGTGTTCCTCATTTTTCTCCAACCCCTATGAATTGTGATAATACCAGTGCTATTCAGATATCTCACAACTCCATATTCCATGAACGCACAAAGCATATTGAGATTGATTGTCATCTAGTTCGCCATCATTTGCAGACTGACACCATTTCCCTACCTTTTGTTTCTTCATCATTTCAGCTTGCTGACTTCTTCACCAAGTCTCATCCGGTTCATCGTTTTCACTTCTTACGTGACAAATTCTCGATGCTTATTGCTTTAGCACCCTGAGTTTGAGGGGGGATAATAATATATTTATTTGTTTAATTATTTGATTAATATTTAGTTTCCTTACTAGCTTAGATCTCTTTGTAATCTATTAAGTCATTGTAAACCCTAATTTCTGTTGTGTGGTTCAATTGTTTTCCTCTTCTTCTTTCTCCTTATTTGGTTCTCTATATGTGTTTGATTCTATAGATTAAATTGTATGTTATCAAATATCTCATTAATTATACTGTCCAATCTTATTCAGTATTGTACCTCGACCATGCCTAAACTTCTTAACACCAAAATATATAGGAGCAGTCACAGATAGGCCTGCACACATCGAAACCAAAGAAATGTATGATTTATTTTTGGCTAACAACGTTTATGTTTTAGCCTCCCTTCGAAAAGAGTTTAGAAACGATTTATTTTTGAAACTATATAAATAAATGTATAATACTTGCAGGATAATTGAAATGTATGATTGAAAATTAATTTTATTTTTGCAAATTATTGGGACATTTTTTAGATCATTTTTAAGACAGCCGTTGTTAATTGAAATCATTGTGATCTCAAAACTCTGTGTAGAGAATCAATTTAAATCGTTTAAAACTTGGATTAGGGTTCGATGGCACAAAAAAGGAAAATTGGAAGTAGAAGATTTTATGTGACGGATTAATCCCCTAATATTGTATTATCGAAAAAAAAAAAAAAAAAAAAAAAAAAAAGTAAGAATATATATTTATATTGAGTTACTTTCAGTACAAAATAATCTGATGACACAACATTTTTTCATCTTTATGCCAGCCCCACTACATTAAATTTCATTTCTCTCTTTCCTATTTTCAACCACAAAAACTTTCATAAAATAATATTAAACGTAAATAAAAAAAAATTTCACTCTTTTCCAACTACTCATTTTTCAAAAAAAACACTATTTCACCCATTAATTTTTCCACGTAATAAGACAAACAGGGGCTATATCCGAGCTTATCGAGACTGTGTAATCAAATAGACCCTATCCAAGTAAAAGCACGGACGAGATTTCTAACAAGTGAGTTTATTAATCAAGAAAGTTGTTAATCTATTATAAAGGAACCAAATACAACTAGTTCAAGAAAATTCAAAAAAAGGCAAAAACAAAAGGGAATTAAAAAAAAAAAAAACGCTCACAATATAATAACCAAACGAGTGACAATAATTCAAATTGAATGATCATTCCAGTGAAGAATCAGTGTGATGAACAGTTCTTGAATAGGCTAAAACATCTTCAGGATTTTGTGCAGTAGATGTAGATCCTCCCTTTTCTTCACTAATTCTGTCATCACTCTCTCCGTTTTTGTTTATGATCGCCTCTCTAATCAGCTCTCTGGCTTTTCCCATTGGATCATCAATCTTCTTGGTTTCTTCCTTCTCCTCTTTCTCCATCAGCTCTCTCCTTTCCTTTGTGGCCTCCATTAATTTTTCTTTCCTCTATTCTTGGCTTGGCTTGGCTTGGCTTGGATATCCGGTCTGCTTCTTCACGTTTTGAGTGATGTGAAGTGTGTGTATTTATAATATCCAAAAACGCATTGGGAGATGATAGTGGTGACAGTCTTTACACATGGATATAACCATTTTATTACACGTAGCGAACAGGGAATAGTTGGGTTGGTTTCATCTTTATATCAAACTTTAATTTTTAATATTTTACCATTAGTTCATCGTTATCTAAATCTTAGTCATTGGAAAGCGAAAAATAAATAAAAATGGAAGGAGAGAGAGACCTCTCCGGGGACCCCTTTTTCACATGATTTTAAAAAAAAAGCTAAAAAGAACAAACTTACCCAACATCATTATCATTTCAAATTCCGCTTGGTAGTTCGACAAATTTTCCACCACACATCTCAAAAACTTATATCACAGTTTACTAAAAATCCAATTGTAATCCCTACCAAACACCTACTTAATGTAATTTCCTCGTAAAGTTGTACCCTTTTTTTCGGTTTTTTTAAGAAGAACAAACTTACCCAACTTCTCCAATGAGACAAAATTCATTTAAGAATGAATCACTGTTGATCAAGTTTTAAGGACCAAATCTGACAATAAACAATTAAAACATAACAATTAAGTTGGATAACTTCCATACCCCAAAGATCAAAATATAACAGAAAACTTCGACTAAAACAAAATTGCTGGAAACCTTCTCCTAGTTCATTCTTTTAATGAGCTCATTGATGTAATCCTCACGATTGCCAGCATCACCACCTTCAACATAATGATTTCTCTTCTTCTTCGATCCACCCAAAGGTGCCTTCAACTGGAACGGCCATAGAAAGTTGTTTGCCTCTTTAAAGTGTGGCCCCACAGTCATAATCTCGTGAATAAGATCTTCCATGCATATGATTCCATACTTGCCGAGGGTCTATATGGTGCAGCAGCAAGTTCATGAAACATTATAAAAACTTTCAAGATGGAACATGTCAATGTAATAAACTACTACATGAACACGGTCTTCACTAACCGACCTGTTCGATGATGGAATTGTCTGTCAAACCAATTCCCTGCTTGTTGACTTTCCCATATCCGCGCTTGTAAATCAACTCCCTGACACTTTAAGGTTGGGGTAACTGAAAAAATTTAGGTAAATGATGAGATCGTGCTGGAGTTTATGTAACCCCCAAAAGTCATTGCAACCTGTCTTACCCGTATGTAACATAAGGCTCAACCCTGTGTAGCATATTCATGGTTACTTTGTTAACTTTCAAAAAGACACCTTTAAAGATCTGTACAAAGCCAAATAGAAACTCTAGAAGACTAAGAACATGTTTGGTACAGCTTAAAACCCAATTAAAATCAATTTTTTGACTGTTATTTCACTATTCCAGCCGTCATTTTTGAATTCTTCTCTTACACGTAAGACCCACTTTATCTCTAACAGTCAAAAATTAATTAACGAAATCCCTACCAAACAAGCCCTAAGTACAAAAAATAACATCCCGTAAATATAGAAATTCTACCAGTGGTTGTTAAAAAGGCTACCAAGGAGTGTTTGCTTTGGTAAGGTTGGGGGTAAGCCATAATATAAACAAAAATGACATCAGAACAACCTATGAAAAACTTCACTTGGTTCATATTACAAGATTGAACTTAAGTTGTTAAAAGCCAAAGCAAGAGATCACCACTAAATAAAAACGACATTAGAATAACCTACAAAAATCTAACAACCTAAGCTTGCAAGTATATGCATTTTATAGCATTTTGACATAATCATTGTTTCAGAACTACATATACAAGAGTTGTTTACTTATTTTTATTGTTAATTTGTTCGTGTCTGTTTGTCTATAAATTTACCTTGCCATTTATAGTTTTTGTCCAGCATTAGAAAAATCATGTTCATAGTTTGTAATTATGTCTAATATATATCCGAAAAATTAGAAATTCTTCAAACGTCTCTAGGCATAAAAAAAATACCAAAACTGTCCGTCCACCCAATGCCCCATCTTTAGACATGCTTGGGAGGCATGCACGCTCACAAAAGATTAAAGAGAGAAAGAACAGTTGCTTGGCCGAAAAAGAAAAAAATAAAAAATTGAAAAGAAAATGAAGAGTTGCAGGAGCTTATACCTCCACAGCCATTCATTCAAATTTCACAATTAAAATTAAAGCTTCTACAAAAGACTCCTCTCCTCCCCTTTTCTCTGAAGTGTCGTATTCAGGCCTTGATTGGGGGAGATTTTTTTAAAAAATAATTTTCTCCAATATCAATTTCAACCACACTTTCTATGGGACCCAACAACTTTTCCCTACTTTTTAACCACACATTCTCCAAATAAAAAAAATCTCTCCCAAAAAAGGGCTCAATTTCAATGGATTCATTGGCGCTCCTTTGTCGATAAACTAAAAATAAAATTCTATAGTGGACAGGTGCAGAATCTGCAGATAACCTAAAGGCTTGTTCAAATATTTTAGTTTTGCTGCATGCTGCACAGAGCTCCTAATGAGAGTACACCCCCAGACCTGGGTTTCAAAAAGGGAAATCAACAGCACTGCCTTTGCCACTACAGTTAAATCGAAAGTGTAGTTATATTCCAAGACCAAAGTTCCATTGGCTTGTCACTATACATACGCGTGCAGAATTTTGAGAGACGAGCCTCTTCTCAATCAATGCAACCATAAGTCATGACTAAATATAAGTCCAACTCAATAATTTCACATTTCAATAAATACATATTCTTGAGTGTCTCTGTTACTATTGCCAGTGTACTGCATCAAGTTATAGTTTTCCCTTGATATATACAATAAATATTTGATTCCTCATTGTATCCCATTGCAAACCAAAAAAATTATACTACTTGAGTGTCTCTGAGTTTCCAGAATAGAGAATTATAATGACAGTGGTGCAAAGAAGGTAAGCACATCTTTCAGTTACCTGACGCAATCGCAGTAGCTGCAGTATTTTCTTGGTTTGTGGATGCATTGCATTGATACTGTAAAATTTAAAAGGTCGACATAAGCATATATATGTAGGATGAAAATTCAAAAACCTTGAAAGAATTAAATAACTTACCCACGGATTCTAATAATAAATAATAGCTTAGCCTCAGGATTAACATAAAATCCCCCCTTCAATCTGGCCTCACGCTTCATACGAATCAACTCCTTCTCCTAAAAGAAGAAATGAGGAACAATATTATCAAATAGACAAAGGCTTTATAAATGATTCTGCAAAAGACTCAGCGGAATTCAAATGCACCTGTTCCACATACTCCTTTGCTTACTGCTCAGTTTTCTTGAAGATCAACTTACGGTTATCAGCTTTCTTCTTCTTTGCAGCTTCAAACTCTTGCTTCTTTGCAAGGGCCCATTCCTCATTCCTCTTCTGCTTCTTAAGGACAGACTCTGGAACTACTACACCTTCCTTAGCCACCACAGCCATCTTTCTAACACGGCAAAGAGAAAACAGAAAAATAACCTAAAAAGTTGATAACAATCCAAACAAGCGGACTCCAGATTTCAAGAATAAGCCACAGTTTACAAGCATGCCGCCACATCATAAGATTTCCATCTACTTTTGATGAGAATAGATCTCGAAGAACTTCCAAGAAGTTACTTTATTTCAATACAAAATTATTGCAAGGAATAATGCTCAGAAATTTAAATTTAGCTGGTTTTTTCATGAGAACAGATTTTTCCTTCTGCGGGATGTCAAATATGCATACTCTAACTTCAAGTGATTTCATAAAGCCATTCTGATAAACAAGAATTATTTTCAATAAAAGATAAGTTTTATCCACTTATCAATAAATGGAATCATGTGTTATTGCAAGGAATAATGCTCAGAAATTTAGCTGGTTTTTTTATGAGAACAGATTTTTCCTTCTGCAGGATGTCTAATATGCATCCTCTAACTTCAAGTGATTTCATAAAGCCATTCTGACAAACAAGAATTATTTTCAATAAGAGATAAGTTCTATCCACTTATCAATAAAAGGAATCACGTGTATAACCGTAAAATGGACAGTATACCATATGGGGGAACAAAAGCCCAAAGTTGTCAAACCTTCTCATTCTCTATTTCACCTTAGTATTCCTGATTATCGATGAATAGAGATGAGTTCCCCACACCTCTCTCAGATGACCTAAAAACTCAAATATATTAATTACTACATTTCCCTATTTCAGTAATAAATCTATCAGTCCCAAAAATTACTCCATGCCGTGTAAGTCATTTTTTAAAGTCAGATAAAGTTGACATAATTTCATCAAAACGAAAATTTACTTTAACAAAAAATAAAAATAAAAATGGATACCCATTTTCATATACCACCCACTTCCTCGACATTCAATCAAAATCCATTTGGTAATATTCAGAAACCTGATTAATTTTGTTAAGGAAAACAGAAAATTTAGATATGAATATATAACAACAGGAACGCTAAAATTTTAAAAATTACCTAGAAACTGAGTGTAAAACAGTAGTGTATTATTTTTATTTTTTTTTTGGTAGAGACGTTGGCAATTGGCAGAGAGAGACTTCGCAATAAAAATTGTAAAAAAACCTAACTGAATCATATACTGAAAGGCCGAAGTGGGAAATGATTGCAGTGCCCAAACCTCTTACTTGGAGGCCCAATAATTAATGTACTGCACCTGAGATGGGCTGGGCTCAATTTGGTTTAAGGTTCTTAATTCATGGAAAAATTTGATAAGTAAGAGTTTAAATATTCACATTTCAAAATCAAGAAAATTAGTTTCAAATTTCAAAAATTAGATTTTTATTAAAATTTATTTATAATTTAATTATTTAATTATTTAATTAATTAAATATATTTAGGTCACAGATCTATAAATTTTGGGTACAAATGAACAATTTAATTAGTCATTTATTATTTTTTGATCAAGGATCAAAAATTTTATGTCGCAAATTATTTTACGGTCACAATTCAAAATTTTGTAAGTCACAGTTTGTTCATCGATCACAAATAAGAAAATTATTTAGTCGCGGATTAATTTTTAGTCACAACTTAACAAATTGTTGGTCACAACTTATTTCTCGAT